CAAACGCTGAGCCAACATAATCATCCGATTTAGAAACGTCAGTGTAAATGGGAATTAAATTCCTGTCATTGTGTTGGATTTCTGCAAAGCTCTGTCTGTAAACATAGTCTGGCGTGGATTCCTTAGGAAACTGCTTTAAGCTTAAGTCAACATTTATCGCAGGAGTAGACAAGGGTAAAATACTATCAATCTCGGCCTGTGAAACGTTGCTCATGTTCAGGTCGATCATGCTGCTTACATTCTCCATTCTTATGAAGAATGTAGGGACACTACTTGGGCGAGCTTCAAATAACCTTTTCAGCTGAGTATCTGATACTGTACAATCAACTGGAGGTTTAGTATGAGATTTCTGTTTTAAATAATAAAAAAGAGACAACTGTTCTCTCCTAAGATATAGTGGAGGCTCATAAGCATCCACATACAAACTTTGGACAGGGGAGGTTCAAAATGCCCCAGTGCACAAACGCAAAGCTTGGTGATGGATTGGATCCAGTATCCGAAGAGTAGATTCTCACGCAGAGCCATAAACAATGCATCCATAGTCCAGCTTAGAGCGGACAAGGGCCCTATAAATCCTGAGCATTGAAACTTTATCTGCTCCCCAGGATGAGCAGCATAATACCTTTAAAAGGTTTAGAGATTTTAAACATCTACTCTTCAGGTTGCGCAAGTGCGGCAAAAATGTCAGTTTTTGATCAAAACAAACACCCAAAAACTTAGCCTCATTCACAATTGGAATTTTAACCCCATTTAAATATATTTTGGGGTCCAGGTGCAAACCACGCCTTTGGCAAAAGTGAATGCACGAGGTCTTCTCTACTTTAAACTGAAACCATTGGTCTTGGACCAATGGTCTATGCGATTTAGGGAGGTTTGCAATTGTCTCTCAATGAAACTCATGTTGCTAGACTGGCAAGAGATCTGAAAGTCATCCACATACAAAGTGTTTCACACTAGAGGGAAGACAGTTAGCTATGCTATTAATTTTAATTAGGAACAAAGTCACACTCAAAATACATCCTTGAGGAACACCTACTTCTTGGACAAAAGACCTAGATAGAGTGTTGCCCATCCTAACTTGGAATCTTCGATTCTGCAGGAAGTTTTTTATAAAAACTGGCAAATTACCCCGCAGTCCGAATTCATGTAAATCACGAAGTACTCCGTAATGCCAGCAGCGATCATAGGCCTTTTCTATATCAAAGAAAACAGACACTAAGTGCTGTCATCTAACAAACGCTTCACATATGGATGTTTCAAGTTTTACTAAATTGTCCGTGGTACTTCTGTTCCTACAAAATCCACTCTGATGTGGTGAAAAGTAGTTCTTTTCCTCTAGGAGGAACATCAGGCGTCTGTTTACCATCCTCTCAAAGAGTTTACACACGCAACTTGTTAAAGAGATTGGTCTGTAATTAGAGTTATTCTTCCGGTCTTTACCGGGTTTTGAAATAGGGATAATAATTGATACTCTCCAAGAGTCAGGAAAAGTATTTTCTGTCCATATTCTGTTAAACAGATGCAGAAGATTAGAGAGGAAATTGTTTGACAGATTTTTAATCATGCTGTAGTGGATTTTATCCGGACCTACAGCACTATTGCCCGCGCGAGAAATCACTGTTTGTAATTCGATTCTAGTGAATGGCACATTATAATCCTCATTAGATGAGGAGTAAAAGTTTAAACACTGTTTTTCTCTTTGGGCTTTATAAGCTTGAAAATTCCTTGAATACACAATATTGCTGGATGAAGCAGAAAATGTTTTACTCAATAAATCAGCAATACCCTGTATATCGCTGATTATTGTGCCATTATTTTCCAGCATGGACACAGAGTGAGAAGCATATTTCCCATTAATTTTATGGATTTTATCCCAGACTGCTTTTGAGCTAGTAAAAGATGTTATGCTTGAAACATACTTTCTCCAAGAATCCCTTTGGCTTTGCCTCCTTATCCTTCTGGCATTTGCCTTTGCTTTTTGAAAAGTGACCAAATTTTCAGCAGTGGGGTATCTTCTAAAAATCCCCCATGCTTTCTTTTGTGCTTTAAATGCTGCCTCACAATTCTGGTTCCACCATGGTTTAGGATGTTTTGGATATCTAGTTGATGTTTTCCCCATTGTTTTTTCCGCTGCCTCAATGATACTAGAAGTGACAACCTCAACTGCATCGTTGATATCTGCAGTATTGACCATTTCCTCAGTGATGTTAGCTGAAAAAGAAAAGGCAGGCCAATCTGCCGTTTCAAGTTTCCAGCGTGGTAGACGAGCTGTTTCACAGCTTTCTCTGCCTCGATATTTTAGAAATATTGGGAAGTGGTCACTAGAGAGTGGATTACATCCAACCTCCCATGTAAATGCTGAAAACAGGTTTGGACTTGCTAATGAAAGATCAATTGCAGTGAATGTCCTTGTTGGGGCATGGAAGTATGTCACTTCTCCAGTATTAAATAAATATATTTCCTGGTTGCCGATAAATCTCTCAATGGTTCTGCCTTGACGATTGATGTCGAGACTGCCCCACATTGGATTGTGGCCATTGAAATCACCTAGTAAAAGATATGGAGTTGGCAGCTGTTCAACTAATGTATCCAATTCATCCTCATTCACTCTGACATCTGGTGGCAAGTATATAGAACAAACTGTGACAGTTACTCCGATAGAAATTCTGACTGCCACAGCTTGCAGATCAGTGGTTATTTGTACCGGCAAGGATGGAATGTGATTGGAAACCAGAATAGCCACACCTCCACTGGCACAGTTGTGGCTATCATCATCCTTGCAATATAGATCGAATCCTTTTAAAGAAATATTTTCTCCAGGTTTTAGATGGGTTTCCTGGAGTGCCACGCAGAAAGATTGAGTAGATAATGTCAAGTGTTTAATGTCAGAGAAGTTATTGCGGAAACCACGACAGTCCATTGGGTTATTTTATAACCCATTACGTGTTTGAGGCAGCATTCTTTGTGAGATTATCTCTCTTTAATCTAACCGGGGGTTTTTCTTTTGGAGGTGATATTGGTTTTGTCACCTCTTGATTAGTCTCTTCATCAGAGATATCAGAAAACTCACTCATAGAGTGGGCTTCTGATTTTTTACATTTAGAGAGAGCTGCTTTTACTCTCTGCTTGTTTAGTGGGTTCTTACTAGCCTTTTTAGAACCCAGGTTTCTTGTTATTACCCCTGTTTTAGGTAGGGGTGTTTTTGATTTTAAACTCTCCTTTTCTGGTGTTTCTTTTGGTGGAATCATTAAACATTTCGCATGCCTGGTAAGGGATTCCTTTGGGGAGACAGAAATGTCGGTTTGAACTCCACATGTTTTTGTGGACTTCAAAGCCGCAGCGAATGTCTTTTGTTTTAGTGGTGCACTTGAAGTGACCATTCGGCGCGCCTCTGGGTAAGGTAAGTTGTTTACTGTTTTCACCCGCTGTATATCTTCTTTTCACTTTGCCATGCAGGGCATTTTCGGGAGTAAGAAGGATGGGCATCTTTGCAGTTAACACAGCATGGGGTACTGGTACACTCAGTACTCTCGTGACCTTCAGTCCCACACTGTGCACATATGCTCTTTCCACGGCAGGATGTCTGTGAATGTCCAAACCGCTGGCATTTGAAACAACGCAGCGGATTTGGAACGTACGGACGGACAGGGCAGCGCAGATAACCTGCTGTAATAAAAGATGGCAATGTCGGCTTGTTAAAGGTGAGGATTAAATGTTTAGTTGGTATTAACTTGCCATCCCGACGAATGGAGATACGTCGGACAGCAGTAACACCTTGGTCTGAAAGGCCAATCTGAATATCTGATTCATCTTCAGACATCAGATCAAACTCAGATATCACACCACGTGAAGAGTTCAAACTTCCATGTGGTGTGACAGTGACTTCAATGTCTCCCAATTTCTTTGCAGCTAGAAGTTTTGCCGACTGTTGAGGTGAGGCAGTTTCTACAAGTAGGTCTCCTGACCTCAGTTTTTGTGTTTTTTTCAGGTGTCCGATCGTTGATTCAAATAACTTCTGAATCAAAAAAGGGGAACATTTTGACAAAGGTTTTTCTCCAGTAGCATGCACTATTAAGTAGGATGGCTGACTGGCAGTGTTTTCTGGCTTGTCTTTATTTTTTGAAGGTTTAGGATCCATGATTAAATAATAATATTTCAGCTCCTAGTGACCCCACCCACCATGGGGCCCAACAAGGGGATGCCGTCACATGGGAGAGTCCCATAGACCGTCACACCAGGGTTTCCCAGGAGCTATACCCTCACAATGCAGTCAAGAAGAGCACATCTTGTCTGACGTGTCTGCCCGGTCTGCATCGATCGGTTGACTCCAAGCCGAGGTCTATAATGACTCAACGACCAGCCGATTGACTCAAATGGAGTCTGATTTGAGCCTCCCGTTTATCCGAAGCAGGGGCCAAAGCAGTGTGTTGGGGACGTTATGTTGCCCCTCAACTACCAGGATCCCCCTTTCCGGCATACGGGACACCACGCACGGCAAACACGTGGGTGGGCGTTCAGATCCCAGGGATGGTAAAGAAGAGTTTCTAAACCATCTCTGGGAGGTCCCCCTCACCACGGACAGGAACCCACATCGAGGGGTGGTGAAACAGAAATGTCTGTCTGAACTCCACATGTCTCTGTGGATTTCAGAACAGCAGCAAATGTCTTCTCTTTCACTGGTGCATTTAAAGTGACCATGCGTCGTGCGTATATTATTTACAGTCTTTACCCGCTGAATCTCTCTCTCTCTTTTTGCCACGTGGGACATTTTCGGGAGTAAGCAGAATGGGCATCTTTGCAGTTGACGCAGCATGGAGTGGTTGTACACTCAATACTCTGGTGGCCTTCAACTCCACACTGTGCACATAAACTTTTGCCTCGACAGGATGTTTGGGATGTCCAAAACGCTGGCATTTAAAGCAACACAGCAAATTTGGAATGTATGGGCGCACTGGACAGCGCAGGTATCCTGCAGTAACAAATGATGGTAATGTCGGCTTTCAGAAAGTAAGAATGAGATGTTTAGTTGGTATCAACTTGCCATCTCGACAAATGGAGATATGTCGGACAGCAGTGACGCCTTGGTCTGAAAGGCCGATTTGAATATCTGATTCATCTTCAGACATCAGATCAACCTCAGATATCACACCACGAAATGAGTTTAAACTTCCGTGTGGTGTGACAGTCACTTCCATGTCTCCCAGTGTCTTTGTTGTTAAGAGTTTTGCCGACTGTTGAGGTGAGGCTGTTTCTATGAGTAAATCTCCCGATCTCAATTTTTTAAATTTTTTCAAATGTCCAATAGTCGATTCAAACAGTTTTTGTATTAAGAAAGGAGAGCATTTCGATAAAGGTTTTTCTCCAGTTGCGTGTATTATCAAATAAGTAAATTGACTAGAATTGTTTTCCTTGTTTTTTGGTACTTGATCTGGTCTCTGTTGTTTTATGGTTTTTGGGTCCATATTGAGAAATAGATATTCAGCTCCTAGTGACCCCACCCACCATGGGGCCCAACAAGGGGATGTCGTCACATGGAAGACTCCCATAGACTGTCACACCAGGGTTTCCCAGGAGCTATACCCTCTCAATGCAGTCAAGAAGAGCACATCTGGACTGACAAGACAAAACTGTCAAGCAGGGACGCATCCACCCGGTCTGCATCAATCAGTTGACTCCAAGCCGAGGTCAAGAATGACTCAACAACCAGCCGATTGACTCAAACGGAGCCTGATTTGAGCCTCTCGTTTATCCGAAGCAGGGGCCAAAGCAGTGTGTTGGGGACGTTATGTTGCCCCTCAACTACCAGGATTCCCCTTTCCGGCATACGGGGCACCACGCACGGCAAACACGTGGGTGGGCGTTCAGATCCCAGGGATGGTAAAAAAGACTTACTGAAACATCTCTGGGAGGTCCCTCACCACGGACAGGAACCCACATCGAGGGGTTGATATAGTTTGGAAATGATTCATGGTCAATATGCGTTATGTAGGATGTGATCTACAAGAATGTCCAATGAATTAGGAACACACTGTGGCTTTTAACAAGTCATGTTCAAGAAAATTTCCAATGTTAACAAACCAATATACTTCGTGTCTTGTCTCTGAACTTGCAAGACTTAATCAGTAAATAACAAAAATGTGAGATTGCAAAAATGGGAAAGGAAATCAAATTCAGAAGGAAAAAGTGATGAGGAGAGAAACATAGGTATGGAAACAAGTGAGGAATATAACCTTCACAGTTGAACTTGTTTACTTAGGAAAACAAATTGGAATCATTACGTGGTTTGACATTCGTGAAGATTAAAAATCGTGTGTTCCTCGAGTCTACACAGAAAATAGTTGGTGATAATGCGCTGTATCGTTTTTAATTATGCCATTTAAAATAATTATTTTCATTCTGTATCAAAACATCATCTGATTGTTTCCAATAGTTTAATCCCTTCATTACAAGGCTTCTTTCGAAATCACGCTCAGAAACATGTATAGCTTTTGCTTATTTAAAACGAAATATTCATTCAAAGTTTACAAAAGTGTGTATATTTTCTTTGTATTTAATTTGTTGATAATTGTTCCTGAATGGCATCTTTCCCACTGGCGACATCATTCCTGCAATGATGGCTTTCTCGTACAAATTCTATGTGATGGCCGGGAAGCTGCCATTCGTAGGTTCGGTCTCATTAGCAATAATAATTAAACACCTTAAACTTGACATAACATATACAAAAAATAAATTTAAGGATATAAAAATAATTTTTACATAATTACAAGTAGTATAGAATTAAACAAATGAAATATAATGTTATCCATGAATATTTATAAATTATAAAAAGGTCAATTCGAATATGATAAAAAAAAATCGAATACAATAACATCTGTTTATAAGATGGCAATATATTTTAACGCTTGGATGACCAGGGTCCCGATCTGTTGTTACCCCCCCTTTATCATAAAGATTACAGGGTATCAATCAATCGTTACCCTAATAAAAATCCATTCTAATGAAAATTTTTGGCAACAGATGCCACCACTTGACGGTAGTGTGTTGTCTACCATCTGTTTCACATATTTGTGTCCAGGTGGTGTTTTGTCGACTGAAAAATTTTTATTTAGCGATTTTTTTTTAATTTAAATATTTTTTCATTTATTTTATAGCATATTTACGTAATAATATTACTAAAATACGTTTATTCATGCTATAATAAGTTTATTTAGTTATAATAAATCAATGTATGATAAATATTTAAATTGTGACCTTCAATTTTGATATTTATAAATTTTTTTAATTTTTTATTTTTTAATTAAATTAAAAATATTAGCCCATCGTAAATGTATTACTAGTAGTCTATATATTTATCACAATAATTTATATTATTGTTCAAAATAAAATGAATAAAGAATATTAGTTCGTAATACACATCGATAGCAAAACAAAAATTACATTCCAAAGAAAGGATTTATTATAACATGTGATAATTTTAAAACTAATAATCGTACATTCATAAATGTTATATCGAATTGTACAGAACGATATTTCAAGTCGTTCTGGCTTAATGCCAAGAACAAACTACTTAACTGGAGTATGTGAATTTTACAAAAATGTTGCAAATTTTCACAGACAGATGTCAGGTCTGAAATATTTTAATTTTTTTTTTATTAAAGTTTATATTTAAATGTATTTAAAAATATCGGATTTATAACTACAGATATTAATAAATGTAACGTAATTTTTGTCATATGAATATAACGATAAATTGATTTTTGGTGAATTTTTAAAGTAATAAAACATGTCTGACCTTGTTTGACCTATATTGCCCTTTGTCGTGTTAAACAATGAACGTAAACAAGGGGGG